CTTCAGGTACTGCCTGGATGTGGGTCCTGGCAACCTGTTCTGGGTGGCCCTGCCTGAACAGTTTGGAGCATGTGTCTGCCAGAGGTCCTTTCTAACTTCAACCATTCTGTGATTCTCTGAAACTTTCAGATATAGGGCAAAGGACAACTCTAACTTTTGGGGAAATAATCCATAATTGAGGAAGCAGATTCGTCCTAAAAATACAACCACTGTGGACCATCTGTGAAAGGAATATCTCTTTCATTTTGTCTACTTAAACTGAACTGAACTGAAGAGAGAAAAAAGGATAGTGTAACCATCAAAAACCAGGATGAGATTGCATTGTTATCATTTTAGATGCTTTTTTTTTTTTTTTTTTTTTTTTTAATAGAGAACTACATTACATTTTATATTGAACTACATTACATGTCATCTTCTTTGCCCCGGAGAAGGTGCAGACGGGAGTTCTGCTATAACATATGTGCCATGAAAAAGCATAAGTTAGACCAAATTTAATCTTGTTTCCTTTCCATGTCTGTGATTACTTGAGAGGCTGAGCAACCAATTATCTTCCCAGTTAACTTCAGACATATATAAAAAAGAATTGCACAGTCACATCATTTAGGGGTCAAGGGACCTCTCATCCATCCCCTTTATTGCTCAAGGAAGGTAAGGTAAAGTTGTCCAGGGTGACAGTCAGTCAGGTTTTGAGTATCTTCACACACAGAGGTTGTTGACTGCTGGCTGTTGATCCAGAAAATTTTATTCCTCCTCTCATTGAAACTGACTAATTATAAAACTAATGTAGGCAGATTAACAGAGTACTGTATTCTCACAGTTTGTTAATTAGAACCTGTAATAAATGTCTGTAATAATGTTTTACCAATAGTAAATCAAAACTTCAAGCATCCTCTTAAGAGGTATTTAAAAAAAAAGAAAAAAAAAAAAAAGATGCAAACAAAAACAAATCTGCCTTCCCACCCTTAGTAAGAGTTAAGGTAAATGTTTTGCCTGTTTTTTCTTCAATTCCTGGAACTCAGCATTGAACCTTTGGAAGAGCAACAATAGAAAACATCTTCGTCTTCATATATGAGCCAAGCTTTTATCTCTTCTAGCAGTGAACATAGATGAAGAATACATAGGCCTGTTTTTTTGTTATGTACTTCACATACTTACTGGAGTGCTGGTGATCTCTCTTTCTACTGGCTGATATCAATCCTCCTTTTCAAGATGAGTTCCTAAATAAATAAGTAATAATCCTTCCCTAACAGCATCTGTTGTCTGCAAATATCCTGGAGGCTGCCCTTTCCAAATCCTGAGGTTGATGGTAGAAAACAAACCTGATTATACTGGATTAACATCTGTGTCACTACTGTTAATTTTAGCAAGGCCAACTGTGGTTTTAATTTGAATTATTCTATGTTTGTAATTTTCATGGAGAAACTGTTAAGAGAGAAAAAAAGAAACCACTATTAAATGGTTCCACATCAGAAGACACAGTGAGCTCCTCCTTATCTCTCTTTTTCAGTTTGAGGGAACTGAACTGATTGTTGTTGTTCTGGGCACTGTAAATGGGAGTTACTCTGAGATGTTACAGACTTAACAGCAATGCATCAAGGAGATAGTCTGTAGTAGTAGTCTCTCATTGCTCGTCCTCTGCCGACCGAGGGCGCCACTTGCCAGCGAAACCGACCCCAACCGGGCCGGGGCCAAATGCTCACACAGACCCCAGAGTGCGTGAGGCAAAATGGCGTTTATTAAAATGTGGTAGGCACTTAAATATTCTTGTCCCGCTTTGTCCACACCCCTTGCTTACCTGCTGTCCTATTGTGGGGCAGCGTTTGGCAAGCCCTGAGCATAGGAAACCTGACCCCGTCACATACCGTTTCCTCGCCACGCCTACTACAATAGTCCCTTCAACAACTAGAAACTTTGTGATCCAAGTACATTACTGATACGAAAAATACATGACTTAAACTGGGATAAAGTTAAATGAGGGTGGTGACTCTCTTCAAAGATATTGCTGGATGTTTTGCTCATCATAATCATGTTTTATCAGCGTGGCACTAGGTTGGATGCTTGCTCTTAAACGTTTTCCCATGCTACCATAGAGACAACAAATGCATTTTTACCCATCTATAATCCTTGCAAAGAAAATCTCTGCTACAAAGATTCACTGCCTCATTACTTTGTTACTTCACAGTGCTATGCTTTCTAGGACTGACACAAAAATAACATAGAACTCAATCTGAGTGATGTGTTCCATAGAAGTGAAGCAGAGAATTTAAATTACATTTATTTTGATTTAAGTATCTAATTTAGAGTTTTAGTCTTAAGCTTCAGAAGTCAGGTCCAAGGATTCTTTTACAGTCAGTGTTCTCCACTGTCCCTTTAGAGAAGTGAGAAGCAAGGCTTAAAAAACAGGGTAGCAAATGAAGAAATGTGGGAGATGTGCTTTTCCATAGGGCAGTTGACTCGAATTGTGATGCTTGGTTTTAATCAGGTGGCTTCAGTCTTGTAAAGGGTCAGCTGAGCTTATAGTGATAACTCTGGCAGTTTCCTAAGGGCTTGTAGGACAGTAACATAGAACAAAGGTGTTATAAAAATCGGGCTCAAAGCTTTGTAACAAATGTGTTGTGGCTTTATTCAGAAAAAGTTTCTTGCTGTGAATTTTATTATGAAGAGTTTGTGGAGTGACCTAGAGATGCTGATTTGTTCTAAAATTGCCCATATTCAGCAGTTGCTGATCCACATTTTCTAAATGGGAATGAGAAAAGAGAAGCATGAAGAAATATGTAGCTCTTGCAATTAGGTCTATTTCATTTATCTTATTAACTATGCAAAATCATAAGGAAATAAATCTTTCTAGCAGTTAATAATCAGTTGGTTATTTGACAGCTGCAGGCAAGCCCAGTAATATAAAAATTACTGTCATTATGAACAGCTTCTAATAAGGAGAATGTTTATTAAAAATGTGAACACATTCCATTTCAACACTTACATGAAAATTTGTCTTTTCATGATGTTTAATAACTAATTTTCTGCTAGAATGCCCCAGAATGATACCATATGTGTTCTGTATTAAAATTTACTGTTAAAATAGCACTGTGTCCTGTAACAGGCATAATTAAGCTGCTGTTCAGACAGTATACACAATATAGATATAATGCAGCAAAATATCATTTTACGGTCTGTTCTATTTGTCATGTTAAAATAGTTGCAAATGGTATCAGTAAGATCCTGTTCTACTTTAAACCCTCTGAAAGTTTTTTTTACTGTTATTTTATTTATTTAAAGTTGCAAACCATCCTGGCACAACGCTACAGATCAAAAATTAGCTTGAGCAGCTCCTCCTTGATATTTTCTAATTACTGTGGTGCTGATGCAACAGCAATTTTTTGTTTGCAATTCCTAGGCACCACTGTAGAGGGCATGGAGAGGGAATACTTTCTTGGTAACCCTAGCTGAATACATGAAGTTTGCAAACAAATAGGGTCTACTTGGCTGGTCTTTCTGATTTCTACTGAAATTGTATATACGTATAGTAATATCTTCTGGTTTAGTAGGTATAGTCTTGCTGAAAGAGCTGAGAAAGTGTTTTCTTACATGCATATCAAAATGTAGGGGGAAAGCAGTTTGTGGCAAGTTAAAGCTACTCTTGTGCTTTTGAGGGAAGAGAGAAGCTGCTTTCTCTGCTTGACACAGTCTTTTTGCAACATGAGGGGCAGCCTGCCACAATGACTGCAATGAAAAAAAGCGAAAAAATCTAGGAAAGAAATGGACAAAATCCACAGATAAAGTTGCACATGATTGCAATGGAATAAATGTGTATGCAGGGATCTTCACCTTTATGCCTCTCTGTCTATAGGAAAGGGAACATGAAAGTTTCCCTGCAAACATTTTTTGAGAACACAGCAGTCTTTGTTTATCAGAGGAAGCAACAACAGAGAGAGCAATGCTTCTCCCATACATTCTAACTTCTGTAGATTCAGTCACACCCAGGGAACAATAGAGATATTCCTCTCTTACCATGTGTACATTGTAGTAGACATGAAAAAATGAACTCTAATATTTAGAACATATAACTTAGTTGTGAGATTTACTCATAACAAGAGCTTTCTCTACAGAAAGACAAAAGCTGAATCTCTAACCTGGAGATGTCAGTTCCATGAAATTTCAAGAATTCTTTAACAGATCGATAATGAAAGACTGTATGATATTAATGTTCTAATTTATGTGATTTATCTATAACTTTATTACTGCAACATACCCTGAGTTTGGTATTCTGACACTTGGAAGACTGGCAAGCCATTGGAATTTTTTTTTTTTATTATGGAATGTCACTTTTATAGAAGGCATACATGTTTTTTTTTGTTTGTTTGTTTGTTTTTCACTTTAAGAAATGTCAATCAAATGAAAAATAGTACAGAATATCTATGGCTTCTACAGCAGTAATATCAGCTCTTTCAAATGTATTTTAATTATGTCCTAAAATTACTTTTGGATTCATTTTTCTTTAATACAGTGTTATGCACCTACATTGCAACCCACCAATGTTCAAAAAACATGATTTAGACTCTAGAAAATAATGGGATTTATTTACATATTATACATATAATCTCTGAATATTAAATGTAGGAAGTTCACTTTATCCTGCTTGTTTTGTTTTGAGCCTTCAGATGTTCTTTCAAAGTTGTATCAGTAAGTAGAAGTCTAAAGGGTTTTGTTTTTGTTTTGCTTTGTTTCATTTTTAAAGCCACACTACAATTTATGTGAACTCTTCTCTTTAGGACAAGGAATGAAAAAATACCTTCTTACAGGAGGACAGACCAGAAATGATACTTTGAGATTTGACTGTAGCAAGAGGAGTGTAAAATGCAATTTACTGTCACAGGGAGAATAAAACATTACTCTGAAACATTAAATATTGTATCTAAAAGAAAAAAAAAAGCAAATATGTGAAGGGATTTAAATATTTTCAAAATTTCCAAAATACCGTAACAATCTATTCTGTTCTACAGGAAACCGGTTAGCTCCAAAAGAAAAACTGGGCATCCCAGTGTTATTCATGCCAGATACAATGATAATCTATGAGGCTGTGATGGTAATTCATGTAATGAGGGAAAATGGTGAGAACTGGCCTTATGAGGATTCTGCTGAATTAAATAAAGACTTAAAGAGGTAATTTATTCTAATAGGAAGCAAAAAAATAGTTGAAGATACTCAATCCTGTCATCATTTTCTCCTTCAAATATTTGTGTGTAGCTCCCAAAGGGGAGTCAAGTGTCTGATTTTGAGGGCAACAGATATCCCACATGAGCTTTTAATGTATCCTGTAAAGTCTGTACTTTACAAAATGCAAAGTACTAGCTAGCTGTGAGTGTAGTTATGGATATTGAGCAAAGGAAAGCTCTTAGAGGCCTCTAATTTTTCTCTAATAGTTGTTCTCCCGTGGACATGTTTATGTAATGCATAAACTTTGCATCAGCATAGATAATATGGCATAAGAGATCATATACTCAGATACTAACATAATCAAAGACATGTAAGTGTATGTAAGTTATGACTTTTCTGAAATCATTGGATCTTATTCCATATTTTTCTAAGATATGTTTAGCTTATTGTTTACAGCTTACGATAAAAAGGAGTCTCACACATGCAGCATCTCTTAACTCTAGATTGCTTTGGAGAAAAAAATTCTCAATGGTCAATCATGATGATAGTATTATGATGATAGTTTTTCATATTTTCCGTACTGATACTGTTCACTTATTCTCCAAACAGCGTTACTAGATCAGAGGATGGGGGTATTCAGGGAATACTCTGGACCTATCCAATTCGTGGAATACCTGAAGCGCCACATCAGAAATTAGTGCCAGGTAGGTAATTAATAAAAAGCTTGAACATTAAATGCAAGGAAATTAATTTGTGTTATCACACAAATTTGATCATGAGAATTTGTGGTAGTACTTTACCACATTCTTAAAAAAGATAAGAGCAGATTTGAAAAATGAAATCTCCTTTCCCAGCCTACGAAGTAAAAAAGATTTATTTTGTTTTTATTGTGGCTAAAAGGAGCCAGGAGCAGATGGAATTCTCAAGGCTTCTGCCCTTGGCTATCCCAGTTAGTGCTAAGTTAGAGAACTGTAAATCAAACAAGAGACTGACACAAGGGTAGTTTTCTTCTTATCTGCCCAAGATACCCCTCAAGAGAGATTACAGGTTAAATGTCCACTGTTTTGCATTTTACTCTTTAACCAAAACCAGAATATAGATTGGTGTAAATAGCAGTAGGTTTTCTACTTGCTCCTGAGAATTAAACTTTCAATAAAAGATGACTGATATATTCATAGGACATTTATTGTTATTTACTCTGGGAATAGTAAGTGTTTCTTGATTTGATGCACCAATTTTTTAAATATATTATCCCAGAATTGTGAAATATATAAATTGTGAACCATATAAATTGTGAACAGCCTTTGAAACCAAAAGCTTGCAACTTCATCTCAAGGTGTAGACAAAGGACAGTTTTATACTAATTTAGTGTTTTCTTCTCTTTTATCAACTTTTCTTTAGATGACTGGATAAAATGCCTTTTTGCACTGGACAGGTTAAAATACAGGGATGACTTATGGAAAACACCAGAAATAGATGTTTTATTCTTTAATTTAATTTGCTTAAGGACCTTTTACTTTCAGACAAATACCAGTGATGTCGTATTAATTAGAGCTTTCATCTCCCTAATTTCCACTTTAATATCTTGAGGAATGAAGCAGAATATTATCATGCAACGTGCTACTGTTGCCCAGAATTTTTTTTTTAGCAAGTCTCATTTGCAATAAAGCTACTGATGTGTTTGTTATCATGTTTAAAACAGTTACATAATTCACTGGTAGACATGGTGATAAATCTTTTGATCAGTCTTTTGTATGCATTAGGCGTAATATCCATAAATTAAAACTGTTGGCATTCATGAATTGGTCCAGTGACAACACTGTTACATAAGATCAGAAATTTAAAGAATGTCACATCTTCAATAATTTTAAATTCCTAAATGTAAGTCTAAAGTGTAAATTATTTGTAAATAGTTGTGCAGTTTGTGTTCAGTAAATGTTTGTAATGCATATAGATAATATTGCAGTCGTTTTAAATGTATATTTGTTTTGGCTATCATCATATGTATTGACTTCTTTTTTCTTGAGGAAATACTAGAACGTCAATTGAAAAATCACCTAAAATATCTATTTGTGAGTGAGAAACCTGTTCCATTCCTGTCTTTATTCTGAATTCTTACGATTTCCAGTAATAAATTGACTTCTTAAAAAATCCTGCTGTAATGTTTGTAATTATACAAAAAACCTGCTTTTTTTTTAAGGCAGTGTTTTAATAATGATCATAATTGTGTTGTCATCTCTTTTAATGAATATATTTATTGAAATTGCCTGGAGGCTACAAGCTGTTATGACGGAAAACAAAGCTGTTTTGCTAGAACGTTAAGCAGTACATCTTTTGTGTCATTCTTATTTGCATCTTTATAAACTTAGAGAAGTCACTTGGCTTAGTATCTCATGAGCCCAATTAAAATTATCAGCGGTCACAACCCATGTAGCAAATGTTCAGTAGATCACACTTTGGCTAGTTTAAATAATGGCAATTGCAAATGAAAAAACAACAGCTTTTTTTTTATTTTTCTATTTCTTGCGAAGTCAAAGAAGCATAGAATTATTTAGATTGGGAAGTGCCAGCAAAGATCATCGAATCCAACACTCTGCTCAAAGCAGGTATCATTAGATTGTGTTGCTTAGATACTTGTCAAGCCAGATCCCACAGGGAGCTGATTTTTATCCGTAAATATTAGTTAGTTATGAAAAAGGAAGTGTGTAATCTTCTCTGGTAGAAAGGTGAGCTGTGAGTCTGATGTAGGCACAATGTTTAGAGAGCAATATGAGATATCTGGTAGAGTAATACAGACAGTGTATGCTTAGTCATAAATATAAGTACATCTCAGAATAAAAGGTACATTTTAATCTCTAGCTCTCCGTCATGGAGCCGTTTAGAATTCTACAGATCTCATTTAAACCCCATCAATCAGAAGAAGACCAATAAAAAGAAAGGTTTTATTTTGTTTTCTAAAGGAAGGAAATTACTTGAATAAAATATGCAGTTATGTATTTTCAAATTAGTGGTAGTGAAACAAACTCCATAACCACAAGTTGAAGCTAAATAAACTGGTGAGGCTGCACCTCGAGTACTGTGTTCAGTTTTGGGCCCCTCACTACAGGAAAGACATTGAGGCCCTGGAGCGTGTCCAGAGAAGGGCAACGAAACGGTGAGGGGTCTGGAGCACAAATCCTATGAAGAGCAGCTGAGGGAGCTGGGATTGCTTAGTCTGGAGAAGAGGAGGCTCAGGGGAGACCTTATTGCTCTCTACAACTTCCTGAAGGGAGGTTGTGGTGAAGAGGGGTTTGGCCTCTTCTCCCAGGCAACAAACAGGACACGGGGAAATGGCAGCAAGTTGTGCCAGAGGAGGTTTAGGTTAGACATGAGGAAGAACTTTTTCTTTCAGAGATTAGTCAGGCACTGGAATGGCCTCCCAAAGGAGGTGAGGCATCTGGATGAGGAGCTGCGAGATATGGTTTAGTAGCTTGTGGTAGCAGTGGTAGTGTGAAGATGGTTGGACAAGATGATCTTATAGGTTGTTTCGAACCTTGTGATTCTATGATTCTATGATTCTATGAAAGTGTCCTGGAGTAAGAGATTTGTTGCTCTTTTTTAAGCACGGGACATTATAAGTTAACAAGAGTTCATTCTGAGTTATTTATCATAAAATTGTGTTGTAAAGTTCAGAGTTTCTTTTTAAAGAATCACTGGATATAATTATGTTGATTATTTTAGATAAATTACTAATTCTGAACTTCTTCTTTCTCACATAAAGATTAGGGACAATGAGTCATTGTGTACCACCTTGTAGCCAGAAAAAAATCTAGCTTTTTAATGATATAAAAAGAATTGTACTGTTTTCATAGCTGTAATTCTGAAGAAAATAAAATTTAGACCTTGAAACTGAGAAGTTTGTCATTAGCTGTTTTTTTTCTGTTGACCTCTGGAAAATTCTGAAGTTTTTTGGAGGAAAATATTTTTTTTCTTCAGTTCTTGAATCTGATTTTCTCCTCTTTCTGTGCCACTGAGATTTGAAAGAAGCATCAACAATAACTATTAAAATAAGCTTTATCAAATTTAGTATATAAGCTGAAACGCAGCTACTTCTAATAAAAAAAGACATTATAGAATAAACAGATTATAATCATTAACTGGATTGGAAAAAGCTCTATCATGCTTCAAAGAGAAATTCATGCTAAGATTCTGTCATGGTTCTTTAAAAGCTGAATTTTGAACGCTGATGCTCTTAAATTAACAAAAGCAGGAAATAATATTGTTTCATTTAACTTTTAAATTCCTTCCTTATTTTCATTTTAGTCTTCCTTTCTCACTGGTATGTATATCAAAATATATTGCAACTTCTATTTGCAAAGGAACCACAATGAACACATATTTCATGATTGAAAGAAAAAGCAAAATTAGCAAGTGCTGTTCTGAACCAACTCTGAGATGGGAAAAAGCTTTTAGTAGTCTTAGCTTTTACTGAAATTCCGTCATTCTCCAATGACTTCTATGCTCAATTATTTTGTTTAAATCAAGTTGCTGATACTTCACAAAAACAGATTCTTGCTTTTTTGTAGCTGTGGTATGTTGTCAAGCCAGGGAGAGAGTAGAAAAAAAAGTGGAAGTGCTGCTAACTGGTGTCATTCCTGGTGCAACTGCCATATCTACCACAAGAAATTCTGAAAAGGTCAATGGAAATAAACCATCCAACATGCAAGAAGTTGCTCAATTCACTGATGGTAAGAATAAATAGCTTAGATATCATGTTATTTTAATAACACTGCACATATGGTAAATATTTCACTTAATATAGAAATGCTATGACAGTAGTTGTGGATTATTTTTTTTTTTTTCTTTCAGTCCATATTTCTAACATGTTGCAAATACAAGGCATTCATATAACAGTATGTAGATAGAGTTGGAAGCACATTTGAACCTTTCTTTTTTTTGCATCTGTCCTGGATGGGAGTCTTGCACACATACCAGCTCTTCTTAAAAAGCAATAGCCTTCACAATATCTAAAGCCAGCAAAAATACATTGGTGTAAGCATTGCAAGGCACTATTTATCTGCAGGCTGTCCCTATTTGTAAGATGTATTCCCACCAACAGGCCAATATCTGCAGCAAAATGGATTGAAGAAAGAGGCCCTGTTCGAAAGAATCATTAAAGCTTTATAAAAAGATACCTTCTACTTACTGTTAATCAGCTGAGGACACAGTGAAAATTGATTTTTTCAGAGATATGCCAGCTTCTCATATCATACCTCTTTTTGAAAGAGGATGGTATGAAGTGTAAGCGTCCTACAAAGAAAAGAATGCTTGCTACTGCTGCATTCCTGTTATTTCTGTTCATATGTGTGTATTAACTCATTTACAATGACAAGTTATGCATCATAATATGATATTTTCAATAATTATTGCACCTTTTAGTCTTAAACTACATATGTTTTTTGGTTCATAATAATCCTGTTTATTTTATGAAAAATGTTATTTCTGAATTATGGTGTGTGATATGAGACATTCTAAATAGAATTTAACATAGCTGTAAATGAAGGGAAGGGAGTTCACCCCGTTCCATCTTTCTCAAGTGTATAATGCACTGTAAGGTGCATTTCCAAAATAGTGGCCTCTGAATTGACAAGAATAACATATATTCAAGAAGCTGAGACAACATTTTAAAAGACTTGCAGATTCATGATGTGTAGTGCTTGTTTTATTAATGTGCCCAATATTTCATGTTTATAACATTGGCTTCTGCACATACTGCAAGACATTGATTTGGGACATCACTGCATCTTTTCAAGCAAGTAGTCTGGTAATAAAATGCTTGACAACACAGGCTGTAAGATCATTTATAACTGGTGATTTTCAACGACATTTTAATGTCATTATTACTGTATGAATTTAATTCCTATTAGGAGTTGGATTTAAGTAGTTATTTGAGTTTTCTGCAGTCTGCCAGTAGTGAGGTAAGCAAAAGTGTAAACCCCTAAGATAACAGGCAAAATATTTTCTATTACTGCAGTTCTGTATTCAAATTGTCTGGGCGGTTCTTGGGAAGTGAAAAATCTTCAAGAATATACCTTATGTTAAAGGAATTAAATTTCACCCATTCCAGAAGGTATCATTTGAAATAGAAAATAATTTCTTTAGAAAGACAGGACAATCTGAACACTGTGAAGTTAAAATTACTTGATTTGCGGTTTGAAAGTCAGCAGTGTTGCAGAGATCAAGCAATATAAGGTCAATATTTTAAATTTCAATTGTATTAAATACATGTGTTTATATGTATTTTAACTTTTTTTAAAATATAGCTGTAATGTTATTATTTTCAGTAAGCCTTATTTAAGATGTAAGTTCATTCATACAAGTGTAGAAGTTCTTCTTTTTAACTCTAATAAAACTCTTCTTGCCTACTCTAAACATTCAGTGGAAAATACTGTTTCATTTTCCATAGCACTGTAAAAAAAAAAAGCATCAAACATTTACAAGATATCAGTTATAGAAATTTTACTGAAAGTCACACGTTTCTAAGCAACCAAACTTCAATATGTTGAGAGCATATGGAATATACAATAAGAGTATCTTCTGAGGAAATAGACCCACTTAAGTTTATCACATGAGCCAGCCAATCAAAGCTTGAGTGCTTATAATTAACTTCCCTGATGTTTATTAATTCATAGTACTCATAGATTAATGTCTAATCTTTGTTCCTTGTTCCTGCGTTATTTCTGGGAAAGTTTCCTGTGAGTTAGTTTCTGGTGAACAGTGTTGTCCAGGCTCCTGAAGGTAGCGCAGATGTGAGTTTTTTGTGTTATTGCAAGTTTTGCAGCTATACTGACTAGTAAACAAATGACCAGCTTACTTGCACCTAGTGGTCAAATATATTTTATGGAGAGTACTCTTTGTTCCACCATCTGAAAAACAGAAATATATGTATATATGTATTCTCTACAGTTTTATGACAATTATCTAGATGCAAAACCTTCTGAAGTACTGAATCTCATTTAGGATTTACAGAAATCCTTTATTTTCTTCACTTTCACTAAACCGGCTCTTTGAGACAGAGAAAGAACGCCTTCAAGCATATTAAAAAGATTGCATGTTAGCAAGATTGCATGTTAGCTAGTGCTATAGATTCCAGTAAATGCCATTCTGATGTGACAGGTCTGGATCAAGAAGCTCACCTGAAATCATTTCAACCAAATTCGCTATTATCAAATAAATCAATCAGTGTAAGGTAGAAAAATACCAGTATAGGTGGAGAGAAAATACCCTCATAGACCTATCTATCATCTAGACTGTTTTTAGTATAATTGCTGATAACATGTGGGAAATGAATTCGGAAAGCAATTTGAAGAAGATAATAATAGTGAAAATGGTTTTATATATAACTTAAGCCATCTCTCTATCATCAGAATCATTGTGGAATTATTTCTGAAATGGTGTTAGGGGATGAAGGAATTATATAAATGAGTTTTATGAATGAGATTATACACTGATTTCTTTACTCTGTAAGAAGTACAGGAAAGAAAGAGAAAATGTTTGTTCTGGATTAGTAGATAGGAGAAAGCTGTTAGTAAAAGCAAAATGAAAAGGTTGATGAGAAGGTGAACCACCACGAGACAGGGAGAGCTATGGATTACTTTGTTGCTAAGGATGCCAATTCCCTCTGGAAAACAGGGAACTAATTGAAGTCGAAGAACAGATTAGTGGACTAGAAATGGAAGCACAGTTATTTTATAAACTATGTAATTTTTGTTTATTTACTTATGTGTGGAACAGATGTGATTTGATGCATTTTTTTTCTTTCTGAAATAGAAGTATTGGGTCACTGTATGGGAACTGTTAGGTCACAGTCTGAACGAACCAGTGATTAAGCACCTGGTGAAGGGGCATAGCCAAGCCTGGGAGCACGGGCACATGCAATTCACCTGTGTGACTGAAAGGGGTAGACCTTGCGTCTCCTCTGGGAGTTTCTAGTGAATCCTGAACCTTTGGAAGGGGTGAGCTGCTACTTTGTTGCTGGATGGTGGCTAATATCTTTCTTGGGTGATCTGAAGCTGGTTAAGCAGCTATGTCTACTGCCTCCTATCACCATACACCATACACCAACTTAAATTTCAAAGGATCAGTGTGAGTTGTTGATATATAGAATATAGTACTATGTGAGATTTCTTGAGTGAAAATGTAATACCTGGAGGAAATAACAACTGTAGTGAGTGCTTGCAGTTTTAATTGATTTGATCTGATCAAGCAATCCCTTCCAAAAAATTATCATTTGATTGTAAAGCAAGAAAAATTAAATACATATTAGTGTTTACAAAAGTTAGATTTTCTAAATGTTTTTGTACATCAGAAGCAATGAAAAATAACTAAAATAATATACAGATATTTAAAAAAAAACAGCCTGTTTTCTCTCACACAAGAAACATACCTTATTGTTTAGTACAGCTAGAAAAATAACAAACAGTGCTACAAAAAAGAACTTGTAAATTATGATCAAGCAAATTCAAACTTTTTTAATGAAATGTTCAAATCTTTGAATTTTAACAATGGGAATAATGCAAATTAAAGTTACTTTCTAACACTAAGGTAAAATCATACTCAGTTAAAATATTCAATGCTTGCAGCAAACCAAACCAATTATAAAATATTCTGAAGATACTCATTCATCCTCACGGAAGTGCAAAAACAGTAATTCTAATATGAAATGAGAAATAATTCAATTCTTTCTGGTGTTACTTTTTTTTTTATATATATATATAACTCATATGTACCTGGGAAAGGGAGAGGGAGGGAAAACAAACAGAAGCTGAGTGGCTAATCTGCCCTAACAAATCTCTGAAGCAAAAATATGAGGGTAATACCTCCTATGTTATTATGTGGGCCCACGATGTCAGAGGCAATCATTGTTTTCAGTCTGAACCTTTCTCCCTCACCCTTTTAATTTCCTTCTGTCTCATGAGGGTTCCTTAGGATGCTCCTCTGCCTTGTAATTTTTTTAACAAGTCTACCACAGTTTAACCATTATTTGCAAAGAGCTCAAGTAGCTGTATCTCTTCAGATATCCACAAAAGACTGTAACCTCATAGCACAATGCCTTTATATAATCAGAAACTGCACTGTAGAATGATCTCCAATGAGGTCAAACAATTGGTCACTTTTTCAGGAATAAGAGGGAGGTATGAAAAGCTTCTCTAATGACATGGTGAAACTCTATTCCAGGTCAGAAATACCCTGTGAGCCTTTCATGAAATCTTTTACAGATATTAGGGACATCAATGCCTTAGTAACTGAAATGTAAGTTCAGTTACTAAGGTTCTTATTAAATAAGCATACTAGGCTTTTTATTTTTAGATATCTGAAATACATCTATTATTTTTACATTGAATCATAATAGTAGTGAGGATTCAGATTTCAGAAGGGATTCAGATTTTTCCAGATTGTATGCTCAGTGTAAAATTCTTGTTTTCCACACTACCATTCTTAAGTGTCAGAAAATAAAAAACAAACAGTCTATTTTATTTCCTCTTCTTAGAGGTTAATTTAAAAAATCCCTGACAAAAAACACTGACTTTTGCATGCCTAGCACTTATAAGTTACAGGCAAATCATGGAAGTATATAGTTCAAAAATCTACTGGTTTTCAAACATATCTACTTCAGTAATTCTAATAGAGCTGCAAATGTTGCCTAATACACACCTTTTGGAAATCTTTATTTATAAAAAGCAAAACAGCTAAAAATTGAGATTAATTGCCTTTCAAAACAAAACATTTATAATACTTTAAGAATTTAATCTTGGAATATTTACTCAAAACCATTTTTTTTTTAAATATTTTTTTATATATTTTTTTTACTGGAATGATATATAATATCTTTTGGGATAGATGAGGAAGTAATTTCCATAACCAGCTTGTGTATAAATAACATGTTACATCTTCCAGGTGTTTGAATTAGCCATGAGCCATGAGTTTTTTTGTTTTTGCTTCTAGTTGCTGCATGTTTGTTTAGGCAGCATTAGTATTACGGATTCTCTAGAATGAAATGTAATTCACTCACAGGGGCTTTTGAGGGTATTATAATAGGTAGCTTTCAGAGTTTGCAGCTGATGAAAATCTAATTACATTTTTCTGTTTTAAACAGCCTAAATCTAAACTAGATCTGTGCTGTTTCACAACTTTAAATATTGAAACCATGAATTCATAATTTTTTCTTAGGTGTTGTAAATATTAAAATACTTTAAATGCTTGATGTGGGCATATAACAGATGAGAAAATAAACTGGAGCAGAAAAAATAGAAATACTTAATTACACATGATTAAAAGATGCTATGCATAAATATCTTTGAATGCTAAAACCATCATACAGTTCACATTTTCTTCCTAGCATTTAAAGTATAAAATATACTTTCTCCCCTGAGCTTTACTGGTGTGATAAGTGCTGAAAGATCCATCTACTCAACAGCTATAATTTTCCAACTGTAGAACACTCCAAATTGTCATCTTTTCTCTCCTGTAAAAATTAATTTTTATGTCTAAATCTTTGTGTTTTGACATTTGTCTAGCATGACTACTATAAGCCTTGGGCTGTGCTGAAATTTGAATGTGTGGTATAAACATATTTTTCAAAAAGATAAACAACAAATGGAACAATATAGGATGATCCCAGGAATGTTATAAACTGTAAGAAAAACATTCATATTTATTTCCATCATAACAAGAACTTTTATTGCTATAAAGTACTCTTGTAACAAATGGATTCATACGGGGGAATCCTGTATATTCAGTACTCAGTATGTATGTACTGTGACTGCTAATCCTTTATGTTGTTAGTAATTTGCTTACATCTGTGAAACTTTTAGATCAGGCAGTAAGTTTTAGAATCATAGAATCGCAGAGTGGTTTGGGTTGCAGGGACCTTGAAGCCCACCAAGCCCCAACAGCTGCCATGGGCAGGGCTGCCCCGCATCAGCTCAGGCTGCCCAGGGCCCCATCCAACCTGGCCTTGAGTGCTTCTAGAGATGGAGCACCACAGCTTCTCTGGACATTTATGCGAGGGCCTCACCACCTACTGAGCACAAAATTCCTCCTAGCATCTAACCTAAATCTCCTCTCTTGTTTGTTTGAAGACTTTCCGCCTTGTCTTATCACTATCTGCCTGTATAAAATGTCAGTCTCCCTTCATGTTTATAAGCTCCCTTCAAGTACTGGAAGGCTGCAATGAGTTTTTCCTGGAGCCTTCTTTTCTCCAAGCTGAATCTCATTTGGTTCATATGGCCCACTTTTCAAGCCTGCTTAAGTCCTTGTGGTAGACATCTCTTCCTTCTGTTATATGAACTGCACCACTCCGCTTGGTGTTATCAGCAGACTTGCTGGGGATACACTCAATACCTCTCTCTGTGTCACTGATAAAAATGTTGAAGAACACTTGCCCCAGGACAGGCCCCTGTGGGACACTACTTGTGACGGCCTCCACCTGAACATAGAGCCACTGACTACAATCCTCTGGCTGTGTCCATACAACCAACTCTTTATTCACTAAATAGTTCACTCTTCAAATTCATCTCTGTCCAATTCAGAGAGAAGAATGTGATATAGAACAATGTCAAAGGCCTTGCACAAGTCCAAGTAGGTGAAATCCACTGTCCTTCCTTTGTCCACCAATGTCATCTCTTCATTGTAGACCACTAGATTTGTTAGGCGCAATCTGCCCTTGTGAAGCTGCACTGGTTGTCTCAGATCACCTTCTCATCTCACATGTACACTAACATCTCTCAGGAGGATCTACTCCATGGTCTTTCCAGGCATGGACATGAGAGTCTCTGGCCTGTAATTTCTTGAGTTTTCCTTTCCTTCTTTCTTGAAAATGGGAGTCATTTCCCTTTTTCCAGTCTCCGGAGACTTCTCCTTATTGCCATGACTTTTCAGATTTGATGGCAAGTGGCTTGGCAACCACATCAGCCAGTTACTTTAGAACACTGGGGTGCATGTCGTTGGAATTTTAGAATTTCAAATTGGAAGGCCTTGAGAATCAACTTTGAAGCTGACTGTAAGCCATCCTATACAGCAATCCGTAAGCAGGAGTTTTGCTCAGCCCATCGTACTAAGCTGTGTACATTCAAAATAGGCCCTGAAATATGTAGTCAAAATAAAATGAAATATTCTGTAAGATGTAATGATAGTGTTAAAAGATTTTTATCCATAGAACATCTACAAATTTTAAATAGATTAGAAATGTGAGGTTCTTGTTTTTCATAGGAATGTTTCCTTCTGTGCACAAATTAGTATTCTATAATAAGTATCAGTTTTCTTTATTGCATCTGAAAGAGGTGTTTGATTAAAGAAGCTTAGTTGTTTGTTATTATGCGTAACTACTTTTCATAGCTGGTACAGGGAATACAAGTAGAGGCTGATAGTGGCATCTTTGCTATTTTTCTGTACCATGTTTATCAGATTGGCAGCCATCAGTGGCACAGACATTCTTATTGATAATTTTTTTTTTTAAGTTATCTCAATGGCATTGGTTGAAAATTCGTGTGATTTATATCTGCCTGGTAAAATAGAAGTACCTCACTGTAATACAGAAATGGTAGCCAGGATAACGTTGCTTTCATTGTTTACTTCTCTTAAGTTTTCCAGCTTCTCTTTTTCCAGATCCTATATAGCTTGCTATATGACATGGCAAAATTTTATTATGCAGTCAGAAGCACATCAGTCAGGTTCTGAGTAATTACTAGTTTCACTTATTTGTCATTTTTAATAACAAAAGGCCAAGTTGTAACTACAATCTGTCCAACTGTGTGAAGTTTGAGTGCACACAGATTGATCGTTTTCCCTTGTATCATTTAGGTTTCTCTGCAGCAGCGGAATTTCAGTATGAATTACAGTATCAATCAAATGAAATTAAATCTCAGCTTGAACCTTTAGTTGGTCTGCATCTGATTCAAAGGGAACAGGATACAGAATCTGGAATTATAACACTGATCTTTAATATAGTATTTGCACCTAACAAACCAATGAGGTAAGTCTCTGTTCCTTATTACTCATTGAACATGTAATAAAATCCTTATTTTGTTTTTACCTCCACAATCTGTTGCGTTAGATTTTCACAGTTGCTGCTTCTGATTATGTTATCTTTGGAACTGAGACTGGCAGTATTTCTTTTCAGTATTTGCTAGATGGTTCTGTTGGGTTACTGCCTTAGTGTGTTTGCATCCATTTACTCCTGAGTATTGAAGTATTAAAAGTGTTATGACTTCCAGTGAAAATCAGTTGCTCTGGAATTCATGAAAAGCATACAAACAAAATGGCTTGTCAGTTTTGAAAAAAGTTTCCTAGACAATAATACATAAATATTCTTTGGTGAGATAGGATGATTGAATTTGGAAATGAGTTTCTGTTGCCCTAGTAGCAGTGGTCTGCAGAAAAATATTGTCCTCTTCTAAAGTTCTGATAGACCTCTTTAAAAAAAATAAACTGAAAGAGAGAACCTTTTGGAGAGAAGGGGAAGTTGCAACTTCCTTTGAAAGCAGTCAACAGGGGGAGTGTGGAGAGATGCTTCACTACTATACAGAGGCACAAGGTAAATTCGGAGGCTCAGAACTACTAGGGACTGCAGAGTGTAATTGCTGCCATACATCAAGGACTGTGTACAGACAGAGTATTTTTATGAGTCAGAAGGGAACTGTATTCACAGTAGCCCAAAAAGTTATTGAAATAAACTAAGAGCAAACCTTTAAGGAAGACTATCCATCTACCCCACACAGTGTCTTGTGTCAGAGAGAAGAAACCTTCTTGATTACTACTCTGTCCTTTTTTTTTTTTTTTTTTTTTGCATTTGCTTCTTTCTCAGTTGTTGGTTTGTTTGTTTGTCTATTCTGTATGTTAATTTGTTTTCTATCTTTCTGTATTTGAGAACTATTCTGCTTGATATAGAGGGCCAAGATACTGCAGTTAAATTAGTTTTTTTCTATCATCATGATCTACAGAGTACATAGATGTAAATCAGATCTATCTGATTTTAACATGAAATGCTAACAAACACATTCTGCTTCAAATCTCTTCTAACACTGCAGTAAGTAAAGAATAACATGTAAAAGAAATTGAGTTAAATTTATGTATCCAAGAGGAGCAAACAAATCTCTTGGCTATGCCCATCATTTTGTTTTCATATAATGTCTTTTGTTGTATTTTGCTGTAAATATCAAATGCTTTGTATTTCCAGAATAAAGTGAGACAAATACATAATATGCCATGTAAAATTAAGGACATATTCCAATTTAAAGCCATCTGTATTTTCATTTTTCTGCAATATGAATCTGCACACTTAAAGGTTATTTTGGACATAAATTTACTAAGTTTGTTTTATAATACTCTTCAATTAATAAATATTTTTATCTGAAATTTTAAGGAATGAAGGAACTTTAGTAGTACAGTGCACTACAAGAGGTATCTGGAAGTTTCCATTGCTGTTTATTGCTACAGAGCCAGAAGTGGATGATGTCATCAACATTGAAGCAATTGGCCTAAATAAGGAATCTATTGTTGACTTTAAGCTTACAAGCCAAACAAGGTAAAAATAGATATGATTTAGTATTTATGCAGTTTTCTATAGGTTAAACTCACTCAAAAACATTGGATAGAATAGACTGAGCAACAGAAATGTAAATGAACTGCAGTTATTTCAGAAATATGTTATTACTATCAAGTGCTCCATTGTATATCTAACAAATGGGATCTTGAAGCTATTCTGAAGGAAACAAAAGCATTCTATATGTTAGTCTGCAGCCTTTCAGGAGAAAACTTGTAGAATAATCCATGCTTATCTTTTGAATAAGATTTTGCGCGAAAATGCTATTTAGTGTTTTATCTTATACTGTGCTAAGGAGGGTGTGTGATGATATTAATGGCTTAATGTTTGTTTTAATTTTTTTTCAAAGTACCTAATACTTCACACAAGTTAGAAACAATCCTTTGCATTGTACTTTATTTTTTAAAATGTGTAATTCTTTTGAAAGTGTTCCTGTTTTATTGTGTAAGGATACGTTTATTCATCTGTACTCTGCTTTTTCACTAAATTAAATAATTCTGTCAGATTCTTTGTTATTTTATTACTGATCTACGCATACTCCTCAAAATCCTTCCAAAATCTCTCTTAATGCAATTTTAAAATACTTTTAATTATCTTTCCAGCATTTTCTCAATATTTTTCTAATACTGTAGAAAGCCCATAGTGTCATTTGTATGGAGCAGGAAGTCAAGAAATGTGTGCTATTGATAGATAAATTTTAAAATAGCGAAAAGAATTAGATTATGGAATTTCTAAAGTTTCTTTTTCTTCTTTACATTTCTCTTTTTTCTTTTATTTTACAGTACATCTAGAATGTGTATCAGATATACTGCTTTCATTGCAGATACATGCTGTTTGAAATATTCCCAGCAATAAGTGTCTTTGGTTCTAACTGACTTTTTAAAGAGCATATTTCCAAAAGCTGTGGATCTGAGATGGATTGTTGTTCCAGCTTTTAGATGTCTGTCAGTTTTGATAATTGCTAGGGACTCTGAAAAATGCTGCTATCACAGTGTTCAAGGTAACAGCTTAAACAGAATGGGCTGTTTCTGGAACAAAAATGAAGCAATTATTCTGGCAATACTGTAATCTCCTGGTAGGGGGTTGATAGTAGTGAAGAGACCTAATGTTCTCCAAAAAATCCTGAGTTGTTATAGTTATATAAAGAAGCAGCTATAATGGAACACAAATTCTCTTCTTCCCTTAAACAAGTTCCAGTTTTATTGTACATGGCAAGTATTACCCCCAATATGTTTCAAACACAGAATATAAAGCTTGCATGTAGTGAAAATGTTCCATGCTGTAAACAGTGCCAACAGCTGCTTTGTGAGATTTATACTGCTTTATCTTTGAGTTGCTAATGACGTTTTTGGTGAAGGTTTTATTATAGAAATAGAACAATAAGCCAACCAAAATGTGGCATACCGGATCTGCAGTTTAAAAGCAATTACATAAGAAACCTGTATGTTGCAGAGTAATTTGATGCTTGAATAACTCAAATAACTCAGATTAACAATAAAATCATGAAATATTAAAAATATAGATTAAAAATTTCAGTCAGGATATAAAGTGCCCTTCTACAGACCTTCCCAGGGGGAAAAAAATAAAAATCACTCCTTTGAATATTTTTCATACTAAAAGAGTAAGTAGCCCAGTTCCATAAAGAATTCACCCTAGTATTAAAAATGTGTTTGTCCTGTCCAGCCTTGCCCCAAAACAATGTATGTTCTGTCTTTATTTCTTTTAATAGGTAGTTCATGGCATTTTTTTTTCAAGAGTAAATTAGGAGAGTGAGAAATAGAGACAGATTTCTGAGTAACCTCCTAGAAAGGGAATATGTGGTTGTGTCTTTCTTCCCTCCTGCTACTTGCAGGACATCTTTTTGGGCTGGCAGATTGTGTAGTGATGCAACAAAGAATATTTGAGAACCTCAGACAAGATAAAGTTTAATATCTATAAGAATAGATTAAGATTTTGTATATAACAAGTTGAAGGCTCCACAGAGCACCACTGGTGACCACTGCAGAACTATGAAGTCAGCCTTTCTTCTGTACAGCTACTGCAGTTGAAATGCACATTTCTCCTTTTAAATTCACTCCTCCCCAGCAAAAACCCTCAGTTTGTGTGAAGTATTCCAGAGTAAATTAATGATTTTCCAGTTTACCCATAAGCACATTTGATGTATTTGCTTCAGGAATTATGACAGTTACAAATGAGAGGTAATTTCTGGGCTGCTCACAGTGATGAATGCTGTGAGAGTCTCTGCAAATACATAATGCACTCTCTCTTTTCATACATGTAAAATAGTGCTTGCCTGCTTCCAGTGAGCACAGTCCAGTATCAGCTTGAGTAAATAATGGAAGACAATGAGAATGCAGCCACACAGCTTTGTTGTATGAAAAACCTTAAAAATATTTTTTAAATCTGTCTGCATATAGAACAGTTATCATATATGAGTAATCCAATACTTTCAGCTTTTTGAATTCAAAAGAGACACGTGGAATAGTTTATTGTAATGGCATTAAGACTGGTTCAACTCAAAAAGGCAGATTTCACTTGTTAAATAAGAAGACATTGTCCATTTTATAACTTTCATATATGACCACTTTTTGGTATTTGTCGTAAATGTAGGTTGAATTCATTACCAACTGAAATCATTGGCAACATTTCCACCAAAGTAATTGGCTTGGGTATAAAGCTCTGATGTTTTTTTATCATTAACGTTTGTTTTGGTAACAAATGTATTATTGAATGCCAGTATTTACAGAATAACAGTATAAATAAAAAAGAATAGAAAAGGTATTTATCCTGGATAGAAATTAAGTTGTTTGATAGCCCACTCAAATTATTGGCCATTTATTTCTTTACTGATCTCTGTAATTGAAACAAATGATAAAAATTCTGAGATTGATGCTTTGCTTAAGAAAACTAGTCCTTTCTTTATTTGGTCTACTGAAAATAAATAGTTAATACATTTTAATGAATTGGGATCAGAACTATTTTATTAATACAGAACCCTTTCTACAGAATATTTACTAGTATGTATTCCAGTACAGAGGCATTTACTAGATGCGTATGCACAATGTGTTCACTGGATTTATTTTTATTTTTTAAACAATATGAGTTTTTCATTTTTGTCAAGATATTTAATAATTCTCTTCTGTCCATCTTGTCTGCATTTTCCTCACACATCGAGCCTTCTTTCATCAATTTATTTAATTACATTAATTATGTTTCCCATAAAACAAATTTTACCCATCCATTGATCCCAACCTCTTTCCAATCCGGTGTTTATCACAAAGAAGATACTTGTTACATTATGGGAAATTATGAGATGGACTCAAACTATTGCTTCAGATAAACATTCTTAATTGTCCCACATTTGACAAAATAAAAAATTGCAGTATCACATTATGGTCTCCACAAAGTGGTTATCTACAAAACTCAGTTTCACCAGGTTATAGATCTAGAACTAGAAAAAAGAGAGAACAAAAAGCAGGTGGACTGGAGAGATGAGAAAAGGAATTTAGGCTTTAAATTGACTACAGATGCAGGCTTAGTTATATTCAATTGCATTTCATGTCTTGAACACTGCTCTGGGTATTTTCTTGATTTTATCTGTGCATGTTTCCTAGTGAACAGAATAACGTTCTGAGAAAATATTCCTTCATCACACAAACTTAATACTGATGGAAGAATACTAAGCTACCCAATTTCCAGTATTTTATAACTGTGAAGGAAAGCACAAAAATTTTCAGTGACAACTTAGAGAATTATTTTTATTTTATTGTAATCAGTGATTTTTTCCATTAGAATTTCCATGAGCCATAATTATGCACACTGCAGAAAAGTGCATTCATTATGTTTTCAGCACACTCCTCCCTCAATATGTTGCTCTGCATGCTAGAGGCTTGGATTCCTGCAACAGTCTCCTTGTTACCAGGTCTGTAAAATTCGACCATTAATTTAAAGATCTTATTAGAATCTTTTGTCACTGTATTTCCCACAAAATGGCAGCTGCAAAACACAAATGTTGACTGAGCTCCATTTTGAAGTCTCAGTGTAGCCTGGTGGAAAATATTAAAAATGATACACAGGCAGCAGAATATTTTACATATATATAATAATAACAGCACGATATCTTTCTTTTAAAACATTTAGCCAGGAGTCATATCTACCCATGTGACCTGGACTCTTCTAGCAGGAAAAGACAGTTCACCTATCTGCATATGTAGTTCCCCTGGGTAGAACAGGAATGAGATGGAAATCTTAACATTCTGTGAAGATGAAAATCTGAGCTCCTGCTTTGATCTTACAACATGTGCACAGCAAAAGTGATGTTATACTTGGTAAAACATTCCCTGACAGTTATTTGTCACACACTATTTATTTAAATTTTGAAAGTCCTTTGATTCTGAAATTCTTTCCCAAGCTATACAGTAATAATTGGAGTTAAACCTTTTCTGATGTGCAGAGGTCAGAATGTAGAGTGGTCAATTATAGCAGAGTTGCTATTGGTAACATAACCAATTTTGTCAGCGTAGTGGTTGGCAACCTTGCCCATGGCAGGGGATGGATCCTCCAACCTGAGCCATTCTATGACAACCTCATAATTTTTTTGCACTGCTAGATTTTTTGGTTTTGTTTTTGTTTTTTGTGGAAGAGGAGTCATCTAAAGCATACTAAGTGTAATAATAATTTCATAGATTTTGACAGTTGTTATAATTAATAAGTGTGAAGATTTTCCCTATGAAATTTCTTGTGACATCCAACATATGTTATCTACAAATGACAGTAAGTTTATTTTTGATTAAGGATTTTTAGTAGCTTTTTGCAACATTTTCAAACGGCATCCTTCATTAAGCAGTTATGCACTGTACAGATTAAAATGTTATTTTACTTTTTTATAGAAAAAACAGTTTGATCCATAGTACAACGGGTTATTTTTAAGTGTAGTTTGCAGTATGCAAACAGTAAAAATTTCTACAGGAAAATCTACTGCTTCGTTAGTTTCAGAAAGAGAGAAATTAATATTAAAGTTATTTTGAGTCTGGATGTTAGGAAATAGTGCTTTTCTGAAAGAGTGGTCAGGCACTGGAATGGGCTCCTACCAGGGAGGCTGCCCAGGTGGACCCTGAAGGTGTTCAAGGAACGTTTGGATGTTGTGTTGTGTGACATGGTTTAGTGAGAGCTATTGGTGATAGGTGGATGGTTGGACTGGATGATTTTGTAGGTCTTTTCCAACCTTGGTGTTTCTGTGATTCTGTGATTCTTAATGAAAACCTATATTTTCTATTTTGCTGTATCTGAGTGTGTTTTGCACATTCCAAGGTGAGATCTCTATAGGTTTATAAACTTTGTGGTTTTCTTTAATCGATGACTTAAGGTGCTATCCTTTACTAGCTTGCAAGTTTATAAATTATCTAAATTGAGAACACTGAAGAGCATAAACTGCTATTTAAGAATAATGTGACGTAAATATTAACGGAGTCATTAAAAACAGGTCTATTAAATACTACTTCAATTTCCATGCTTCCTGTTGCTATGATTTCATTGTCCAATTATTATTAGAATTTAAATTAATATTCACCCTTGTTCATTATTTGAATAAGGGCAGAGTTCATATTGTCTCTTGGCATTATCAAGCTGTTAATGACAGTGGTTATAGAACACAAAGGTGGTGGTACACATTTACTTTCTCTGGTTTATATGGCCTCTGCCTTTGTATTTACTAATTCATTAGTGCTTGATTTGTATGTGTTTTCAAAACTCTGCACATTATTAAGCTTTATCACATTTGTTAGTATCTCCCACACTTGAGATAAACAAAAGCCTTCTTGAAAAAAAAATAGAAAGCCTCATCACTGTCCTTCATGACTGAGAAATGAGAGGCCAAATATTACCTCCAGAGCAGTTTTACCTGAAGCAATAACCAAAGAGAAAAGGAGGGATTAATTTTTAATCACTTTAAGGCACATAATTATTAATTTTTAATTATACTCTAAATATACTGACACTGGAAATAGTAATGTCTGAAATTCAGGTGCCTTTCTGGTAACTTTATCTCCAGCTTTCTCTGCAATGTAGAAAATGACAGTGACAAGCAATTGACTTATGCTGGCAAGCTAGCCACGATGCCACATTGTCTCCCTGATGTGAACATCAGCTAAAGCACTGCTTATTTTTTTCTGAGAAGCCATCTTTACATATATTTTTAACCTCAGAATTCATGATTTATTAGAACTACAGGCACTGTGAAAGGTTCCAGTTTCTGATTGTGCATGAACAAATTTTTCATTTTTAGTTCTTGGAACAGTTAGCAATATCTTAACAGAATTCTTTTTGGCCTATTGTACTTTATCTATGTACTTGCTAGATTTTCTATTTTCTTTATTAGACATAGCTCCCACTCTGAGGAGCATTTTACATCCAGTATGTGGCTTGACACTTATGTTTTAAACTGCTGTGTTTTGGGGAGAAGAGGGAAAGGGAATGAGGAGATTTTATGTGTGTATGTATGTACGTGTTCATGTCTGTATGTACATGTGTGTGTATGTATACATTACATTACTCACTGTACAAAAAAATACAACTGCATCTTGTATCTTCTGTCAATGCTGTGAAGAAATGTGCAGGTCTTATAAAGCTTTTTGTATTAGTTTTTCTCCATTTTTCTTTCTGAAAATTTAAATCTGACAAATTTGATGCAGTAAGATTTTTTCTTTGACTTTGACAAAGGTTCAGTTATAGACCAGTTTTGTTACAGTTTCATATAAATTGTGCTTAGTGGGGGATGTCATCTCTAACTACTTATCAGAAAACAGGTTGAACATAGGAGATAAAATGCTGCCTTAAAATGTTCCTAAACTCAGACAGCAGAGCAGTTTTGTTGGCAATGAAGGGCTGTGTTCAGGTTCCTGTTTCCACAGCCAGAATTTGAATAGTCATCTCAGGCATGTTTAATGGGTGCTTTACTCTGCCTCTCAGTCTAATAGGCATAATTTCTTTTTCATCCTAAGCTGCCCTTTGTGAGTTGTAGACAAGCTCTAAACATTCACACCTGAATAGACCTTATGAGAAATACTGATGCAAAGACTCAAGGCTTAGATGGCATATAGACAGATGAAAACTTATTGCTCATAGCCTGATGCTATCAACTGAACTGCATGACACAAAAATAGATTAACAGCGTAAGCTTGACGTCAGAAGACTTGCAATATACTTTCAGAAATGCAGTAGCTTCGACCAGCTTGATGTCACCAAAAGGGAAAGTCAGGCTTCGAAGCCCAGTAGCACTGTTAAATGTCAGTGTTCTGATGGGGCAGAAGCTTTTTGGTTTCTATTCCCTGCATTGTTCTATGCAGCTGCACTGTTTGCTTCTACAAACTTACTGTGACCTTTTTTCATGAGAGCATTTTTGAATTTAAGAAAACCTTTCGTGAGAACACATGCAGAAGGAAAGCTATTTTTATACAACACGACCCGAATGCCACTTGCCCTAGAAATGTGGGACAATTCAATAGAGATTTGAGTTGTCGTAAAATACTAAATTTCATCTGGTTGTGAACGTTTTATTTGAAAAAGAGTGTTACTTCTGTGCAACAATTCATGAATAAACAGATTTGAACTGTTTTTTTTTTTTTTTTTTTTTTTAATATATATATATATATATTTAGAGATATTGTTAGAATCATGGTACTTGCCCTGCTGCACTGTGGTAGGTTGTTGTGAATTATTTTTTGACCATGCCATTGTATTTCTAATTTCTTTTGTCCTCTTTCTGTCTTGAATAGAACTGCCTTCAGCAGCACATATAAGAACTAAAAGGAGAATATATTTTTTTCATGAGGAAAATGCCTATGTTCCAAGGAACAGTAATAGGATTGACGTTGGTGTTGGCCAAAGATTGTTTTGCAGTCTTCAGCCACTGTCTTTACCAGGAATAAGACATCTTCTTTTAGTACAGTGGTACTGCCATGAAGCTAGCAATTGAATGAGATCTGTAGTACTTTAACTGTACACAAATTGTATTAAGATACTGCAAAAAGCACACTGACCTCCTTTGTTTTTCTGTAGGTACCCTGAGCCATTCACAGCATACTTCCTGGCAGGCAGTGATCCTGACTTTGTTGTACTGCCTCAAGCTGGAGAACTTCTTCCAGTGGGCACTGTTGGAACTCATATAACAGTGGGATTCAAGCCAAGAATGTATGGCAAGAAGCATAAAGCAGTACTTGTAATTCAGGTAAATTTTCCTAAATACATTACACAAATGCACTGTCTGGAAAGGAGGGAAAAAAATCCTACGCAAAGAAGCAGTACTAAAACACTTAGATGCACACTATGATTAGAATCATAGAATCCTTAAAGTGGGAAGGGACCTTTAAAGATCATTTAGTCCAGCTCACCTGCAATGAACAGGGACACGTACAGCTATATTAGGTTGCTCAGAGTCTGGTTCAGCCTCACTCTGAAAGTCTCTGGAAATAGGGCATCTACTACATCTCTGGGCCACCTGTGCCAGTGTCTCACCACCCTCACTGTAAAAGACTTTTTCTTTATTATCTTGCTGCTTTTCACTATGGGTAAGGATGAAAACAATAGTCAAAATTAATTCCTGACAACCTGGAAAAACTTAGCATATTTTGATTTTAATCTTTTTGTTATCATTTTTCTCTGGAGAAAGATATTTATCTTGATACCTATGCCGTAACTACAAATGCAACGTGATAAAGATGTCTTTTAACAGAGAAATAACAATGTAATCATTTTAAGAATTAGTGAAGATAAGTGAGTAATCAAGTATTTGCGACCTAAGTTACTAGTAGTATGGCATATACAATCAAAGGCAATGGAAGATAGATACTAAACTCTAGACAGCAGAATTTCAGAAGAAGAAGCCATGAATCTTTTTGAAAAGAAGCTTCAAAAAAAACAAAACACTTTTTTTGGCCAAGCTGCTTCTGAAGGGCAGGAAACATAACGCAACGATTATTCTCTCAGTAGCAGCAATGTTCTTATTACTGCAGGAATGAATTTTTAAGTCTTTCTTTAAAAGGAAACAGTTTGTTCAAGGTGTATCATAGCAGCAAACACATGAAACGCTACAAATGGTGGCCTGCACTTTAAATGTACTTGCTACGTGTTGGCGATGTTTTCAGGCTACTGTATTGGAAGTAAAACTGCAATATTGATTTAAAAAATAAGACTGTAAAAACAATGTTGATAAAAAAAGTGCATGGCAAATGTCTACAATGTTTTATCTATCTGAGTGACAACTTGTACAACAGGAATAAGAAATTCAAATACTATGAAAACAAATCCCTCATACTTGTTTTCTTTTACCTGATAAGACATTTGATTAATTCATTCTTTTGTCATAAAAAGCAGTGATGTTTACCTCTCTTGCATTCAAAACTGAAAATAACTCACCAAGTGCATTCTGTGTTCTTTTTTACTTAGATAATACCAACTGACACATCTGTAGAGCTTGGAAATGTCTACTGTAGATCTGGAATACAATGCATTTAAATGTATTATCCTTGTTTGTCTTTGGCTTAGCTTCTGTCAGTAACAGGATGTAAACATGACAAATTTATCTGGAATGGGAAAAGCATCAAGGTCAAAGATTATCAATAGCTTTGTAAGAACTCACTAACTTCCTTTTAGGAATTTATAAGTACAGATGGGCTTTGAGTAATTGGATTTTTAATTTATGTCCACTCACACCTCAGTTATGATCTAGGTAGATGGCTTTTTACGTCTCCACCTGTGTAACAATGCATGGGTGTAGGAATTTGCTTATATATATTACTCCATGGGTCACACCTTGTCTATCTACTCCGGTATGTTCAAAGGTATATAAATGACTTAATACCTGTCATAGCAAATATTTTCGGATCAGTTTCACACATCACAGTATATCAGAGTATTTCTAAAGGTTTTACTCTAAATAAATGGTTTCATGATTTGACAAGGTTTATATTCTCTTTGTTTGTTTTGATGATGCTTCTGTGTACACTGAGCATCACCCTTTCCTCTCCACAAAACCATTCGCTCATGTAGTTCTAATAAAAGCCAAAGCATCTGTGGCTGTAATTCTGTTGCTCCACTCTTGTAACATGTGCCTGAAAGATTTGATGTCATGTTAAGAATACCAGATATTCATTTCCATGTTTTCTGTTAATTGAAATAATTTTCATTTCTGACCCTGAGGGAGATAGATTTAGTGAGATGGCAAAAAGATTATTAAATCGGTCTTATTTGGGGAATAATAATGAAGGTGGCGAACTATAGTAAATGTTGGACCTAGCACTGAAGGATTTCTCTTGCAGGTATTCTTTCCAGCCACTCTACTGGCTGAGCCTTTGGGCCGTTTTTCAAAGCAGTGAAGAAGTTTCATTTCTTTTACAGTATTGCCTATCTTCTAACGCTGCTGTAGTAAAGGACTACCACGCTCTCTCTGTAAAATACCTTTTGAATTTTTGGGGATGAAGTCACAGTCCTAATACTAACATATTTTTATTATTAAATTCTATGAATAATGAGTAACAGAACTGCTATTTTTGTGTGCTTCAATGAGCAGTGATAATTAGGCTGTAAAGCAGCACAGATGACAGTGTAAGTTCTTTATCTGTTTTATATCGGTCATTACAGTTGTGTTGTAAAGAAAAACAGGAGGTTGGATTAATGGAGAAAGATCCTGCAGTCATCTTTTCTTCATTTTCTGGAAACATTAAATCCAAACATTGTACATGCAAATGTTTTGTTTTAGTTGCCTTGCTGAGAACCGAGTACTGAGGTGATGATTAGTGTTAAGAGATTACAATGTGTCTTTACCAGAATTCTGTGTGTACATTTTATTAACTGAATGTATATCTATAATTGAAATAATTTAGCCTCACTTTTATTTTCTATACACAAATGAGGCACTTCATGGGGTATCTTGGGGACTCTTTAAGACATCAGTCTTTGTGAACACATACAGTAGGTTTTATTAATGGCAGAAAACATTAATTACTTTGCTGAAGCAATTCAATATTTTTAGCCATCATTTAATCTGAAATTCTTTGTCAACTACAAATCAAAACAATTAAAGTTAGACAATTATTTGCATAATTGTTAACAACCTAGATTTTGTAAAAGTACCCTGGAATATGATTTTTAAAATTCTTGAAGATCAAAGAATGAAATTAGAGAAATATAACAAAAAGCCAATAAGGAAAATAGTCATGTTTATTATGATAGCTGTGAAAGAGTATATCGTAATCTTATTGGGCTACAAGTAAGGAACAGCAACACAGTGCATTAAAGGTATTATTCCATAATCAAACTTTAGCATTTATAACAGCTTTCATAAACAATGCAGTTCTAATGGAAAAAAAATGCATTTCCACTAATTATAAATTAGTGAAAAGATAGGCTTTTTAGCTAAGTTGTAAGTTGCTGTGAAAAAAAGAACTTCCCCAGTCAGACTAAGGTCTCCAGGCTGGGTTCTGATGTGCTGGTAAAGCTGACTCAAAAAGCAGCACGGCAAAGGGGCAGCAAGAGGCAGTGAGGGCAGGGACTGTGCAGGCTTCCTGCAGCAGGAACCACTGCCAGCAGACAGCAGAGAGGAGGCTGGCAAGTCCTTGGAAAAGGCTGTACTCGGGTTGGCTTACAGTTAATTTGCTTGCAGTGTGTTGAATCCAGCTAGGGACCCAAGCAATTGCATTGTAATTCATGGATGAGATTTCAGAGGTGTTCTAAAGCAGAAGGCAAACAAAATAAGTCTTAGAAGATAAAATAGATGTCAGAGTAAACCAGATTGTAGGTAACATTATCAAGCCCTCCAGAAGTCAGGCTTGTGCACCTTTATTACTGAATAATCACCGACTTAGCCTATCGAAGATAGTGTATCAAAACCATTTGTCATGCTGCTCTCAAAATAAATGATGCAGTGTGCAAGCCACAGTACCCGTCTGTGGCTTCTCTAAGCTTGTGTATGCCAGCTTGCAAATAGCAACAGAAAATGACACCGTTACATATGCAGTAGCCTGGTGAAAAAACAAGGCATGTTGTTCCTGGTACCTTTGTTGATTACCCCAGTTCCACGTTATTCGGAATTGTATTCTGAGTAAGCAAGGAAACATGTAACAAAGTAACGTAATTGAAATAGTTTTGCATTAAAGAAGGCATCACCTGCGTTATTGGGTTGATATTGAACTGAGTGTTAAGATTACAAATAGATATCCAGAAAGCTCATTACAGACAGTGAGTGTAGCACGTCTCATCACTGGCGTCACTGGATTTTGAGTGCAGAAGTAATACACAAAAGCTTTGATTAACAGGCATAAAAATTGGTTACCTTGCTTATTGAGACTGTAATTATCATAATGTCAAAATGTGAAACCAGTGTAGGAACCACTGATGTATGAGGGTGTTGAAAACATAGCCAGTAATAAAGGAATATTTTGTATTGACTACATTGCATCTAAACAAAACTGTGAAACATCGAATATTTGAACTGCAGGTGTTAATTAAGCCACCTTTAATTCTATCTGGAAATATATCTCTTTGTTAGGAAAATTACTGTTGAGCCATCATCCTAAATAGAAATGAGAGAGCAAGACTGTTGGTTAAGTATAGATTTCCATGTGTGATATTTGTTAAAGGAGAGCAAGTGTTCACAAGCAACCTGAGTTTGATCACTCTCTTTCTCTTTGATACACTGAAATAAATTGTGGTGACCATTTCTCAGTATGGCTCAGTACTCTGGTTTTAATATATCCCACACTCTGTGGGAGGAACGGCTTACAAAAAAATGTAAGTATATAAATAAATGACTACCTAAGTAAATATTTTATTTGTGTTGCAGTTAATTTTAACATCCAAAATCATTAAGACAGTCATACAATGACAAAAAAGAAATGAAAAGATGAGGGTAAATAAGACTTACCATATTATAAACTGCAGTCACTGAATCATAGAGTGGCTGAGATTTGAATGGTCTTCTGGAAGGGACTTGTCTAACGTGAACAAAATGTTCAGGCAGAGTCTCTGTATTTGGCTGGGATGGAGTTAGCTTTGTTCATTGCAGCCTGTATGTTGCTGCGTTTTGGATTTGTGACTGTAACAGTCTTGATAACATAGGAGTGTTTGGGCTGTTGCTGAACAGTGCTTACACAACATCAAGGCTTCCTCCTCCCATTCAACGTGTTCCTAGGGATGAGTAGAAAAATGGGCCCAGGCTGTACAGTGTCATGT